GAACATTTAACCACGTGTGCCACCCAAATGAAGAAGAAGAAAAACCAAAACACCTCGCTGCTATCAAGTCGCTTCCGATTCTTAGCGACTCTCTAGGACAGAGGAGAAGGACCCTCGTGGGTTTCTGAGCCTACAAATTCTTAAGGGAGAAGAGAGGCCCATCTTCCTCCAGTAGAGGGGTCAGCACAGCCCAGCTCTTAGACCACTGCACACAGCCAGGCACTCTCCAAAGCAGATACTACCTATAAAATGTGGTTTTGTTTGTAATGATCACCATTCATAAAATGAGCCAGAAGCATTAAGAAAATTCAGTCAACAAAACTTTACTAAGACACTACAGGCCTTACATAGGAATGTGAGTTCACTGTGGCATGGCAGTATAAAGTTCAGACTGGGTTCTAAGTTATGTACATCTCTTAAAGAATAAAGAAGGGACCAAACTCAACACCACACCCCAAACTAATATTTAGCTTTAAAATCATTTATAACAAATGATCTTGCCACAAACATCTAAACCAGCGGTTCTCAACCTGTGGGTCATGACCCCTTTGGGGGACCAACAACCCTTGCACAGGGGTCACTCAATTCATAACAGTAGCAAAATGACAGTGATGAAGTAGGAACGAAAATAATGTGATGGTTGGGGGGTCACCACCACGTGAGGAACTATATGAAAGGGTGGCGGCATGAGGAAGGTGGAGAACCGCTGATCCAAACTCTTCCTTGTGTCATAAACCAAACCAAACCGAAAGTGAGCCCGAGCAGAATCATTTGATCGGAAATGAACTTCCAGGAAGTCGGATCGCACACAATCTGTGAGAAGCATATGCCTGTACCTGCTCAGGCATTACAGTGATATTCACCCCTGCTAGACACACATCCTTTGATAAAAGCCATGAACTTTTCTGACAGTAATTATACAGGAGGAGCTCTGGTGGTGCAGTGGTTAAGCACTCAGCTGCCGGCCGAGAGGTTGTTGGGAAGAAAAGGTAGCACTCTGCCTCTGTCCATATCTAATAGCCTTGGACGCCCTATGGTTCTACTCTGCCCTACAAGGGTCTGAGTCAGAAGTGCCGCCACAGCAACGGATTCAGCTTGGGAATTATAGGCAATAAACTCAGCTTGTCTGGTTTGCTACAGCAGCTCTAAAAGTGAATAACCTCCGAAAAAAATGACTATACTCAATATCCTAATAGCACATAAAAGCCACTGAAAAGCAGTACCATCGAAACTATATACATATCTCTAAGTTCTTAAAGTTATGCTGTTCTACTCAGAGTGGCTACATATGACATAGTCAAACTCCCCCATAGGGTTGTCTAGGCCAGAGGTCAGGAAATTTGTGGCTCTTTTGGTACGTGCATGCGGCATTGAAGGAAAATTGAAAAAATATAAAGGCTATTACTCAGATGATGGTGATTTCATTTGTATGTAAAATATATGTATGGCTCTCAAATAACATGTAGATTGTTGCTAGGGACAGGATTGGCTCTTCCTTCTCAAAAGTTTGCCGACACCTGGTCTACGCTTTAATCTTGTTTTTTTTTTACTTATCTGCTTAATCAATAACCAAGTTTCTTTCTTTTTTTAATCTAGGCTTTAATCTTTATAGAACCAGATCTCCAGGTCATTCTCTAGCAGAGCTCCTGAGTAAGTTCAAACCTCCAGCCTTTCATTAGGCAGCCAAGCGCTGAACCACTGTGCCATCCAGCATCTTGGTTTAAAGCTATAAAAATCAAAAACCAAACCCACTGCCATCGAGCTAATTCCGACTCAGAGGACAGGGTAGAACTGCTCCTAGGCTGTAATCCTTTACAGTTTGGAAGTCCATTTAGAAAAACATTCCGTTAGATCCCTGCCTCACACCATACACAAAAATAAGCAGCAGTTCAATTACAGGTCACAGTACAAACTATAAAACCGAAAAACTAAGGTTACTTCAACCCATTAGGATAAGGAAGGCTTCTCAAAGCAATCACAAATGCAAGGCAATAAAGACTGCAAACCACCGCACACCATAAAACCTTAAGAGGTTTATTAGCGTAAACAATACATAAATGTTAGAAGATAAGGACGGCAAGAATTTTCCCAATAGAAAAAGGTTGGTGTCTGCAATATATAAAAGGCTCCTACAAAGGCATAAAAACAAGCAATCCAATGGAAGCCTAACAGAAGTATGTAAACTGAGATGGCCACTTTGACCAACTATTCTTGCCTTCACTAAGAGAAAGAAACAGCCAGGAAACTAACCCAGACCCTCTGTCATCAGTGAGCAGAAACGTGCATATCCAACCAGTACGGTTTCAGAGGGGCAACAGTGAAAGGTGAACTATTTCATGTCAGTCAAAGGTATGGGGAGATGGGGCCGCCCACCCAACACTGATTCACCTTGCTCTGTTGGAAGGCAAAACACAGACTCCGAACCAAACAGCTCCATATCTAAAAACCAACTGTGGGGGTGAGGGAGGATCTACACTGTCATTGATTTACAATAAACAGAAGATGTTTAGGAAGGTGAGGAGGAGGAGGAGGAGGAGGGAAAGAGAAAAGAGCAGTCTCACATTCTTAGTCATGTTTACTGTCTGATTGTCTTATAAGCAGCATGTATTACTTTTAAAATTAAAAACATAAAGGAATGAATGGGAATTTCATCAGTCACTCAGTCATTTGCCACTTCCGGGATCCCAGCCGGGAGGGTTCAGCTCCTAGATCCCGTGATCCGGGATGCAATTGTGTTTACAGAGTAGTACAGGGAAAATCCTCTGCCAGCACACTTCTTCGAGGGAAGTGGGAGGGGAAAGACCCCTCGTTTGCCTGCTGCTGTGGCACACAGAAGGGCAGGGCATCAGAAGGGGTGGGCAGGTCTATGGGGAGTGGATGCCACGTGAAAAGAGAGAGGTCTGTGGTTTTACTTCAATATCTGATAGCACAGCAGGCTCAGCAGCAACAACAACAAATCCTGGAACTAACCTGTGACAAGTGTGAGACTTGCTGGTGGTGAGGCTGTGACACAAGCGCCCTTTAGAGTTAACACTAACGCAGGTCAGTGTATCTAATGCAAAACTGGTAGGAGAATCCGCCCCAGCAAGGTTCCCTGAGCACCCGAAGAAGATGAGTCAGGGTTGGGGTTACCTAGGAGGGCCCGCTTGTAAAGATAAATACTGGTTTGTGTGGGAAACGGATACCCTGTAGTTGCAGCTCAGTTTTAAAAACAGGCTTCAAGCCATTTCCATTGTCCCTCCCCCGCAACTCTCTTGTCTCCCTGAGACTTTGATCTTGACAAGTTCAGTTTTGTTAACCAAGGCACTTTTCAGGAACATAACTCCCAAGGCTGGCAAAGGATATGGGTTCAAGACCGTGACAAAATAAAGAAAGGTCCAGGTTCAAATCTTGATGGCTGTTTCAAGAGGCAGTCCAGTGGACATGTTCCCAGGCCGGTCCTGAGCAAAGTGGCCACAACACAAGCGGAAATAACAATAAGTGGACCGTGCCTCAAGCCGGGAACCTCAGGCACAAAAGGCCCCGGGCAAATGGGAGCTGGAGGGTTTTTCTCACCAGGCCTCGGGTCAGAGTTTGGGTGGGGGGAGCCAGAAGCAGGCAGGAGGCAGGCCAATGTCCCTAAGGTGCTTCTCCCAGCATTGCACTGGGGCTGGCTGTCAGGCAGGGGCCTTTGCAGGAAATGAATGAACTCTGTCAGGCCATGTGGTCCAGGCTAGAGCGTTCAACAGAATACAGCAAACACTTGGAGTTATATTGTAAGCTATTTTTAAAACTGCCTGGTCAGCAAATTAAACCAGCTGTGAAAATATCCTGGTTTCCATTCACAACAAATACAAGACACACCCTTCTCTTTAACGAAGCTGGCCTCGTGGAGGCCTGGACCATTCTGTGCAGTTCATTCCTAAGGGTCTCGGAGCCATCATTTTCAGAAGACAGACCCAATCTAAGCTACGTTTCAGAAGGGAGAGAAGACAAAACAATGAGGAGGAAAAGGAGTCCCTCTTCCCAGGGTCAGTAAATGCCATGAATCACAGCCCCACTCAGCCTAACAGACCACTGCAGAAGAGAAAGCAGTGGTTGTGTCAACTGCTTTAAATCAGCCCGAGCAGGTTTTCCTTTAAAAGGACGTAGGATAAACCAGTCTGCACTACAACACCGTTTTTCAAATTCCATGGCAGAGGGAGGAAAACTCCCTGCCACCCCAAAGCTACCAACTTCAGTCTTAAATTCCAATCATCCTTCAAGAAGTCAAGAGCGATACCTAGAATTATTTAAAGTGCCGGGCAGGTTATATTATTTATCATTCTCATTCCTTTAGGGCAGTAGTTCTCAACCTTCCTAATGCCACGACCCTTTAATACAGTTCCTCATGTTGTGCTGACCCCTCAACCGTAACATTATTTTCGTTGCTACTTCATCACTGTCATTTTGCTACTGTGATGAATAGGGTGACCCTTGTGAAGGGGTCGTTTGATCCCCAAAGGAGTCGGGACGGGCAGGTTGAGAACCGCTGCTTTAGGGAAACAATTTGTTATTTCAACAAAGACTAGAGGTACAAATAACTAAATGGAATAGAATTACAGGAAGTCCTATTCAAGTAAATTCACACTTGGAATGCAGAGAGCCAAGCTTATGAATTCAGCTCACTTCAGAAAGGCTTTGCCAAGACAGGGGCATAAACCATTTTATACTTTCTTCTTTGGGAAATCAACCAAACTGAATAAGTCCAATTTGTAACATCCTGAGCCTTAGAGCTTTGGCTAAAGTGTAACATAAAGTTTGATTAGTCGAGTGTGAAAAATGGCAATGCCAACTTTCCGGTGCCTCCAGCTAGGGGAGCTTACACATGGAAGCAAGGCCAGATCACAGCCACCAAAGCAAGTTGTGGGCCCCTCAGCACCCCAACAACCACATCCCTGGTAAATGTGCACTTGGTATGTTTAACCAAAGCGCCGCAGACAACCTGTAATAGAACCCTCTGTCAATAAAGCTTGACTCACTGTTTGCTTTCTTCGCCAGGAGGTGGAGTCTTGCCATGCCCTTCCATTACAAAATCCTCCTGTTCCACCTGCAAAGGCAAGCAGCACAGGTCAGCGCTCAGCTGCAACCGATCCCAAGCACGGACAGCCACCGGGCGCTTCACACTGGAGTTCCTTCAAGAGGAGGCCAGGCCAGTCGTTGTTTAGGGACTATCTGGAGTGACTAGATTTGCAGAATAAGAGAGGAAGCAAATGGATTTGCAACTCCTATAACGGCGACCATCCGCAAGGTGGATTGACTCAAATATAAGGATTGTGAGGATGACCCAGGACCCAGCAGTGTCTCATTATGTTGTCCTCAAGGACGCGATGACAGTGCCCAACAACAAACACGACTGTGACAGACGGTTAGCAGCCATCATGCTAAAGGAGAATAAGAAAAATCAAAACACCTGTAAGTCAATGGGAAAACGAAACCTAAGAGAAAAATTGTCCACACACACTGACTAGGAGTTCTGCTGAGAGCTGGGCAAATGGTTTCTAAGGCATATGCAAAGGTGCTCACCCTCCTGTGAATCTCAGGTTAACCAGTACAATACGCACTGAAACCACGTTGGACTCCTGCACACAGGTCAGCATTCACACCCACCAGCCTCTCCTTGGGGAAACGATTAGGCTACCTGCCTCTGTGAATACTTAGAGGTTCAGAAATGCTACATGGGGGCTCTAGGAGTCAGAATCAAGTTGACGGCAGTCCGCTTGGGTCGTGTTGCTGTTGTTAGACGTCTCCAATTCAGTTTTCCACCCCTGGTGACCTCATGTGTCCCATAAGGTTCTTTCAGGTTGTGCAGTGGGTTAAGCATTGGGCTGTTAACTGCAAGACTGGTTGGTGGTGCTCTGTAGGTTAAAGATGAGCCTGTCTCCCTAAAGACCAACAGCCTTGAAAACCCTCGACAGCAGTTGGGCTCTGTCTTGTAGGGTCACTATGAGTTGGAATTGACTTGGTTTTGGTTTTTAAGCATTATGGAACCTGATTACACCAGCCTTTCTCCTGCAGAACCAATGGGAGGTTTGCCAACATTTGTTATTAGTCAAGTCTCACCACAGTGACACAAAGACTCCTTTCGCACCGAGTGCTGCTGCTCGGTGCCGCTGAGTCAGCTCCAACTCGCAGTGACCCTAAATTAAACAGTGCCTGGTCCTCCACCATCCTCACAATTGTTATATTTGACTTCACTGTTGCAGCCACCATCAAGCCATCCCATTCAGTTTCTTCCTCTTTTTCGCTCACTTTACCAGGCATGATGTCCTTTCTCCAGAGGCTGGCCTCATCTGATGACATGTCCTAAGTAAGCGAGATGAAGTCTTGCCATCCTCACTTCTAAAATTTGTTTGACCTTCACCAACCCCATCATCCGAATGCATCCATTCTTCTTCGATCTCCTGTCAGGTTGGTGAATATTAGGAAGCTGGGCAACAGCAAGTGTGGACAAGGCTATAGAGCAACAGGAACTCTCATCCATGTGAAGTGGAAGGATAAAGTGGACAAGTACTTTGAAAACGAGTTTGCTGCTACGTGAAACATCTGAACATGTGTACTACTAGAAATAAACCCTGGAGAAACATGTTCATCTGTATAAAAATATTATTGTAACAGTATAAGAAGAAAAAACCAGAAAAAAACATGTATCAACAATAGAGTGGATAAATAAGACTGTGGCATTTTTAGACAAGAGAATACTAAAACTGTACAAAAATGAGTGCGCTACAGCCACACACCTCCATCTGATGACTCACAAAACAATATCGGGTGAAAAAAACAAGTCACAATCGGACCTCCACTCAAGTACTCCCTCAATGCAAGAACACGTCCTATTAAATTGGCATTCCATGATACACACCTTCCCGACACGATTGCTGAAGACAAACGTGTGCATAAGCAAATGTGGCGAAGAAAGCTGATGGTGCCC